AAAATGAGATGTTTATCCCGTATTTAATTATGTTTATCTATAGTTAGTTACACAAATTCAAAAATTAAGTTTTAATAAGTTGTATTTACGCACAATGTACTTGTGATATTGAATTTTAAGTAACATCCATCAATAAAAAGTATTTTATGCATCAAAAATAGTTTTTAAGAGTTTTTGTCAAATGATTTATAATATAGTATAGATTAAGATTTTTGTGCTAAATTGTGGTTTTCATTTTTATAATTTTTGTCAAATGTTTTCGTATTTATGATTTATAATTTATTGTTGTTTTCGTCCTTGTACTTATAAATTTTACTGTTTTTGTTCCGTATACTTAAAAGATAAAAATTAGTTCAGAAACAAAAAACTGTAAGAATAAAAACCGCAATTTCTAAACAAACGGAATGTAAATCACAATTATTAACAAACCACATATATGAAAATTGTAATTTACTCTTTACTTTAATTTTATTTTCTAATGCAAAATGAAANTTTACTTTAATTTTATTTTCTAATGCAAAATGAAAATTATCAATTTATTAAAAATAATCAAATATTGTGGTTTATTATAATAAAACTTTAATTATTCTATAGGTTTGCTTTTTTGAATTGTACCAAGATGCTTCCCTTCCTCTATCTTCTTTTATATATATATATATATATAGATAGATAGAGAGAGAGAGAGAGAGAGAGAGAGAGTGATAATGGAAGATATCAGTCACTTTAGCCATAGCCATTCGTTGAAACTAATCAGAAGTTGGGAGACAATTGCAAGTGTTGTTGTTGATGATTTCAAGACATTTTTTGGTCTTGCTAAATGTTGGAAGGAATTTGAAGATGGTGCTATGAATTTTTTATTTCGTTGTTATGGATGTAGGGAACCCATAGTAAGTGGCTCTGCTTATGGTTGCATCTCGTGTCAGCACTTTTTGCATGAGAAATGTACAAAATTAGCATCCATTTTCATTCACCATCAAGATTTGCATCCTCTTACACTCGAGGATGCAAGTACTAACTCGTTTTGGTCTTGTAACATGTGTGGTAATATACGCATGATAGGCGGATTCAACTATCATTGTTCAATATGTAACTTTCATGCATGTGTAAAATGTGTTGAGGTTGCTGTTGCTCAGGAGGCTGCAGCTACTACCCTCAAGACGGAAGCATTAATCAAGCTTAATCATAAAGGTCACTCGCAACACAGCTTAACCCTCCAAATGAGACGTGCAACATTCCATTGTGACGCTTGCAATACTGAGGATAAAGACTTGTCGTATCAGTGTGATAGCTGTGACTTTTGGATCCACAAGACCTGTGCTGACCTATATCCCACCATTAATCTACCCCAACATCATAATCACTCTCTCGATCTCGTCTATTCGCTTCCCAGTGCTTTCTATAACTATCTGTATTTTTGCGCATTTTGCAACAAATGCATCCAACGAAGGGAGTGGTTATATCATTGTGCTAATTGCAGATATTTTGCCCATATCAAGTGTGCCTTAAACGTGGGGCACCATTCTACTCCAAGGTCATATATTTTTTTTTTCTATTATTGTTCTTTTTATTATTCTGGTTGCTCCTTCTAAATTGAATATATCTATCATTTCAGCGATGATCGAGATATTGTTGCTCTTGAAGAAGACGCAAATGTCATGCATTTCCCCATGTCAGATGTATTCATAGATCCATTGAAATGGCTGCATTCGGAAAAGATGGATCGAGGTGACGATAAAAAAACGAAGGTAAACCATTCGAGTCATGAGCATACATTAATCCTTAATGTTGAACCTCAAGGTATCAATATACCCAACACCGATTGCAGTGATACAATAGAGGTATGTGATGGGTGTGTACGACCCATCTCCCTTCCATACTATAATTGCACAGATGGATGTTCTTTCATCCTCCACAAGTATTGTGCTGAGTTACCCCTCACATTAGAACATCAACTTCATTCGGATCATTCCCTTGAATTAGTAAACGTCGATGGATCTGAGGAGACTTACTTTTGCGATGGTTGTTTGTGCCAAGGCAATAAGTTTGCATACAAATGTAAACCTTGCAAGTTCCACCTTGACGTCAACTGTGCATTTTTACCTAACATGATCAAACATGAATCTCACAAACATCCTCTTGTCCAAGTTTGTGATTCCTCCATTTGTTGTCAGGCCTTGAGAAAATTTCTCTAGGTATAAGTTATGCTTGTGGTGCTTGTAGCTTCCTACTGGACGTGTTGTGTGCGGTAGGTTGTCCACGGTTCCTTACTCATAGGTATTGCAAAGGGCATGAAATCCCATTGAGGTATCCCCCAATTGACGATCATCTTGAAGATTTTTATTGTGATATTTGCGAGTCGGAAATGCACCCTATGCACCCATTATACCATTGTCAAGAATGCAAAAATTCTTTTCACATTCGGTGCATTAATCAAGTCGATGGTTTTGAAAATGTCAAGATGGAGAAGAATGGTACTGTTTCCTATCATAAACATCCATTGACATATGTTCGAAGAATGAAAACACCTGAATATGTATGCTTTTATTGTAATCTTAGTATTAATGGTCGTTTGTTCCTTGAGTGCAGGACTGGAATATGTCCTTTCAAAATATGTGTTGTATGTCATTTTCAACGTACGTTACAAGACGTATTTGTATCCATATGATGTTATTGTAAAGTACACAGAAGGGTTCCATATTACTGTTTTATGTATAACATTGTAATATATTTTGATTTTCCAACAACCAACCTCCATTGCTAATTTTATTGTCCATACATACATGATTTTTCATTATTTTCTATAACTTTGTTGGGTTCCAATATAACACTTACTAAGTCAAATAACTGTCATTTTATTAAAGTCTAAGGGGTTGTTTGTTTACCTCTTACTAGCATTAAGAGACAACCTCTGAATCGTTAAGAGATGAATCTTGTTTGGCAAAAAAAAAATCTCCCTCTTAATGGTTCTAAAATCCTCTGAATGATTTTGTATCATGGATCTCCCTTAACCATTAAGAGTCCTAATTTCATTGTACATAATTACCAAACAATTATATTTCATTTTGCATTATATCATGAGAGTCTCTTAATTATTCTGACTACTTAATCATTATGCACCAAACAATTCAACAATTGCCAAACAACCCTTAAAATATTGAATTGTGGTTAACTTTGTCTACTTAATATAATATATGTTGGAACATCAAGATGAATTGTATAAAGAGAATGACGTCACCTTCTTTTTTACATGATTTTTATTAACTTTAATTCATTGTGGATTAAACAGTTAATTTTAGTAATAAATACTGTTATGGTAAATTGATATGATACACTTATTTCATTTCATATTGTTTATCTTTATATCTTTAAAAATAAGATTCATCTTAACGAAATTTATGATTTACTCTCTAAATAATTAACTTCTCATTTGAAAAAAGAATGTTCTTAAAAAAGCATGTTGCATGAAATACGTAACTTGAAAGCAAAGCAATCTCAACAATAGAATTGTAGTTATTATTATTAACTAGAAGGGTACTCGTGCAAATATTATACTAAACATTTGTTTGGTTGATTTTTTTATTAAGTCATGTATGAATGTGGTTGTCTGTGTGGATTAATCTATCTATATGGAATATGAGGGTTTTTCATAAACACTGATAAATTTCAATCACTTACGGATTACTGATGGAAATATACTGTCGCAAAACCAACGATTGTGTTTACCTACGACAAAATAATCACTGACAGATATAATCCGCTGTAAATTCCGTCGATGAACTCCGTCTGCTAGTAGGGTCAATATATTCAATGTGAAGGCATTTATTTTTGTTCTTAGGGTTGGGTTTACGTGAGACCTATGAAACCACTTGGGATTAATAAGAACAAAGATTTGAGATTACGTAAGACCAGTCTGTTTTCGTGAGACCTATGAGACCATTTTTTTTTATACTTGAAACTTCATAGCAAAACGCTATGGAAGTAAAAAAAAATTGAACCTTCACAGCAAAGTACTGTGAAGGTTACCTTCACAGCCTTTTGTTGAAGTTTCAAGAGTAAAAAAATAGTCTCACGAAAATAGACTGGTCTTACGTGATCCCAAATCTTTGTTTTTAATCGGCTATTTTGATGTGTAATTAAATGATTTGATATCAAGATATAAATTTGATTACTTATTTATTCTGAAGTGTAGGCTACACTTGATGTTGTCATGTGTATGCATATTTGAACAAAGCTTTAATTGTGGTTGAAATTCACATTTAAGAGTGTTTGGTTCAATCAAATGAATGTAAAATGACAGAAAATGAAAATGAGAATGACTTTCTATTCCCTCCCCTAATTTAACCTGAAATCAAAATTTGGACTTTTGAGGGAATGAACACATTATATTATATAAAACCAAACAGTTTCTTTTATTTTCATTTTCATTGATTATTGTCTAATACCGTTTAAGACTCTCGGTCTTTGTCTAGCTCTTTCTGGGTAACATTTTTTTGTTCTTACCATATTCATCTGGTGAGGTAACGTGACTTGGTAAGCGTTTACCCGAGTAAGCATTTGATAAACGGCCCCTAAGTGTCCAATTTACGGCTTTGCTCATATCAACTCTAATTGGAAGTCCGAGGTAAGAAAGCGGAAAAAAAGCTTGTATGACAATGCAAATACGACGCCATGTTATCAATCTCAAGCATGAGTACTCCAACCCCGAATAATTTATTTTTGCCAAGATTTATAAGAATTGACATCAAATTCAAAGCATCTGAGACATTTCGTTTTCCGAAAAAAATACATCATCCCGCAAATAGTAGGTGAGAGATCAATACTTTATTTCCAGGAGGTCCCAACGAAATACCGTAGTATAAATTTCTCCTTCTAGCTTCATGTAACACAACAAGGAAAACAAACCGAGAATCCCAATCGGATCTTTCCGTTACCATTTCGTAATTAAAGCGATAAAATCCCTTATTAATTCGACCAGTATCCAAAACCAGCGAATGGCTTTAGTAATGTCATCCTTTACAATAGTTCAATTCTTTTCATAAAATGGAAATTGAAACCATCAGGACCTGGTGCCTTCGAGTTTCCACAATCCACAACGGCTTGCCAAATTTCAAAGTCCGAAACTTCCAAGTCCAACCAACTTGCTGTGAAACGTTTGGCGGGGAGAATTGGGTTCAACAAATTTCGTGGAGGTGCGGGTTAGGTTGGTCGAGTTGAAACTTTTGTATATCATTTTACAATGTAGCTAAATGTTTGTGTTTAACAGCAGAAAAATCAAAACGAGAACATGCAAAAAAAGGCTAACAAACTCAAAAAAAAATGTTGAAGGTTTATGCAAATAAGAAAGTAAAAAATTTACAGTTGAAATTGTAATATAATTTTGAATATAGCCAATTACAAGTTGGTCTAATGTCTAACGTGTGTGTGTGTGTGTATATATATATATATATATTAATCAAAGTTTTCTTTTACACCCTTAAGTGTGCCCTCAACAATAAAAGTTTCTAGATCCGCCACTAGAATTATGCCCCCCTTTTGATAAAAGTTTCTAAGTCTGCCTCTTATATGTAGCCATAAATATCTGGTATTTATATCGTCAATTTATATATAAATTTGGTTGGTACGTTGTATTAGAAGTCGTATACCATGGTAATATCAAACGATACTGACTTTTTTTAATCATTTATCAATTAAAATTTAGTATAATACAACGTATTTCGATTTTAAAGTTCGTATTTTCAATCTTGCTAAATTATGATATGGATGGATAGATAGAACTTGATTTAATTCACTCGTGCAACCCCAAAACCTCAGTAACTCGTTCACACCTCCACGGTCCGTCGTCGCTTCTCAATGGTCGTTTGTATTAAATTATTAATGAAAGTTATATATGAAAATTATTTGAATGCTTGTATATATAGTGATAAGTGGTACAATACATATCAACATGTTATTTGGATTTTCGATGGTATCAATTCATCTAAGGGGCAGTTTACTAGACGCTTACCCGATAAGTGCTTATTGAGTAATTTTCCTTACCGAATGAACATGACAAGGATAAAAAATCTTACCCGGTAAGAGCAATAATAAAGATGAAGAGTCTTACTCAGTGAACGAGGGTGACGACTCTTACCCGCGTAAGCGCTTACCGGATAAATTGTTGAATACGATACTATTTTGATGCACTACAATCTTACCCAGTAAAATAAATTACAATGTTGACTATTAACATTAAGCATTTACCAGATAAGCATCTAGGTAAATGGCCTCTAAATCTAATTGGAAATGAGTGATGGTCATGCCGAAGCTCTTTTCCTAACGCTCTTTCTTTTGCCGTTCAAAAAAAAACATAAATCATTAACTTTAACTTATAGGATTCCTGAAATTGATTCTTTTCTTCTTCTTGCTCTTCACAAAAGCATAAAAAACTGGAAATGGAAAAATAAAGCTTACCTCTTTTTATGAGTGATTTGACAGTTTATTATTTTTATAAATTTTTTTATTATAGTATTTTATTTTTTTTTTTTTATTACAACAATGTATTTTTAAATTATTTTTTATTAAAATATTAATGTACATTAAAAAAATCTATCTATTATAGCAATGAGTTTCCGTTACCGGTAAACCCCTTACTTCTTTTTGCTTCATTGACTTCAATGAGATGATGTAGATGATACATCATTTTGATGAAATGACTAAAATAAATATAAAAAATAGAACCTATTTCAAATTGGTTTTAATGATTTTCACTTTTTATTGCTACGATTTAAAAAAAAATTTGGATTTTTTCTTATTAAATTACATTCAAATTAAACAAGTATGATATATTCGTTAAAAGATAAAATATATTTTTGGTAAAAAAAAATAACAATTCTCATTTTCTTTTTTCAAAAATACATATTTTTTAAAGATGTTAGCGAGATAAATTGTGTTCTACTAGTTTTATTAATGTTGGTATATTAATGAATAATTGAAAATTTTCTAATTCATTTAATTTATTTATTAAATGATAGGTAAAATGTATAAATAATAAAATATTAAAATTAAAAGCACAATGTTGTATAGATGCTATAATAAAATAATTTTGAAAGTACAATGTTTTAATACGAAATTCCACATCAGCTAGTACATGTAGCCAGCCTACGTGGACAGTGAGCTTGCATGAAAACCTGATATAATGAGTAATTTAAATCAAAAGATTATCCAATGTTATATTAAGTAAAATTTTCAAAGTACAATGCTATAATAAAAAATAATTTGAAAGTATATTGTTGTAATAAGAAAAACTGAAAGTACAATACTATAATAAAGATATTTATAAAAGTGAGTTGTTAATTAGGGA